CAAAATTTCATGCTGTCAAAATATATGCAACTGGTACATTTGCAGAAACAGAATGGACTCAACAACAACTCAACCAACTCAACAGAGTTGGTGATGACAGGGAAGGGAAGCATCTTACTCCCATAAAATGAGTGGTTTTGGTCTGGAAGTGCAGGATTAAATTCTGTGACATTAGATTCGTGAGTGGCTTCTATTATTTATTGGTTGTACTATAGTATTGCTTCTAGAGACCCTAATGTATAGATCTCTGTGGCATAAGAGCTGCTTTTCAGAGTACAAACATTGCTAAGGCCCATGGTATTTGTAGCATTACATAGTATTTAAAAAGCTGTTGAGTGACATATCAAAATACCAATTATAAATAAGATTTAGTAACCTTTTGTATCTAGCTTTGACTAATTATACAAGATTCTGTGTGCCTGGAAAGTCATTGCTGATGGCAAACAAGGCAGCTGATAGAAGCTACTGCTATTTAATTTTCTACCTTAAACAAAACTTGCTGTAAGCAATTTCATCCTATACAGAGAAAGAGTCTCCATAAAAATTTAGCACATGGAATTTATCTTTCTTTAAAATTTCTAAGTAGTAACTTTGTATTAAATGCTAAACACTTATTTAAGGAGCAAATGATCAAAAGCTATATTTGCTTTCATGTAATAACATCATGTAATGAGGATTCCAATGCATGTTTGGAATAAGGGATATATATTACTGTACAGTATTGTAATTAAATGCACTGTAATGTAGGGCCACAAAAAGAAAGATGGAAAAGTTGTTTAAATTTTAATCTTCTGGACTTGAGCAAATCCACGTACTTAACAAACATCATACTTAAAGATTTTTCAGGCAAGACTAAACTCTGCAGCAAAGCAGGAGTGATAACTTGCATAATGAAGTGGTCAGAATATGAAAGCAAAAGATAGCCTTCCTGCTCATAAGTTGGACTATTTGCAGTGCAGGGTGTCATGCATTCAACTCACATTCATGCACTGCATCCTTTACGCACACACAAACATTTGCTTCAGTGGGAGTTTTGCAAGAGGCTCCCCCCCCCCAGCTGGAAAATAAGCTTTTGGATAGGAATATATATATATATATATTACCCGCTTGTCTTTGTATGCTAAATGGAAGCCTGTGTTCTGTTTCAGCAAGGAAGTGTATACTGCTCTGGACTCGGGAGATACTGGCTCCTGTGCAGCTTCTTTCTGGGAAACTGTGTTTAGTAAGATGTTCTTGAGAGTAAAAATGAAATACAAACTATGTTAGGTGAGCAGTAGCTGGTAAAGGAAGCCACATGGCCCGTTTGGCATCTCTTTTTGGAACTGTTCCAATTCAGATATACTTAATGGCATAAGCCAGAGTAAATTCCATTTTGTTTAAGAGCAGTGCAGCCAAGTTCCAAAGGGGAAATACAGAGAGCAGCATGATTAAAAGCAGAGAGGCAGTTGTATAGGTGAGTTCCAGACAGACTCACTGAAAAGTCGCATCAACCATCTATCTGATGCAGCATGGCTTCTTGACTCTTCTGTGCTGGCACCCAGGTGTTGTCCCCCAGAGTAACCCACAGGAACCCCAAGAGGAAACGTACTGAACCAGGAGACATATTGGAGAACAGAAAGCTCTCCAGAGAGCATTTTCTCAAGGGAGGCCTCAGGGGCAGCCCCAGCTACAGAAGGCTGAGGCTGTGTCAGAGGCTGGGAAACGTGTGTGCGCTCTGGCCTCTCAGCCACCATGGTACAAGCCAGGTGAGCGTTCTCTCGCCTCACAGACCTGTTGCATACGCGTAAGCTGGAGGGACCGGTCACACAGTTTGGTTCCAAACACACAGTGTAAACCCCACATTACTCTCTATCTGTTTCCTGGAAAACAGTTGTGTCCTTTTCAAATGTTCGTTGAAAAGTTTATGTGTAGATTGTGGGTTTTGTGGATATTTATTCTAAATTACAAATAGCATAATTAAACTTTGCAGGTTGGGAGTTTACCATGTGACAGCACAAAGGTAGATGTAAGAAATGGGCAGGAATTTACAAATAATCTGCAAATGTAAATACCCAGCATAATGCATGCTCCTCATTGCCTGTACTGCAAACGTAAGTTACGTTAAAACTGCATCACTCCATTTGTTTTACAGAAATCACCTAAGAGGTGAAGTGCAACATTTTCTTAGCTTGATGGAACCTTATAAAGTGAATAGGATATAGTTCAAGACAGTAACCAAAAGCTCAGTGCAACCAAAACCACATGCCATTTGCATTTGGTTATAGACTGTACATTTTGGGTTTTCTGCCCCAGTTCTTGTTCCAGAGTGTAATTAGAGAAGCTGTGCTATGCCTTAGGGAATAATTCAAGGCTTGATACTGAAATAAATACTTGTTCCCCCATCTGAACTAAGCAGGTCTAAGAGTAAAATAGTCTAACTGCCAGCAGGATTACCCAAATAGGCGATAGTGGCAGCTGCTCTGTATACAATTGGATTTGCCTATACAGCAGGGGACTTCCAGGTTCCTAGAGTTTAGTGTTCCTCACAGAGCCCTCAGAGGTTGAAATCAGGTGCTTTGATAAGCAGAGAGAGGGGCTTACACAGGCTATGTCTGTATTATCAAGTTGTGCAGCGCAGGCAGCTGGTTCAGAGAACCTAACCGTAGACATCTCCACTTTAGTTTTGTCTGAAAAGAATTCAGTTTATGTGCTCTGAGACCATGCTGCAAAGCAAACCACAGCATAGTAAGTAGGGATGACCAAGAGATGTTATCCAAACTGTATACCCAGTGACTTTCTCAAGGCTTGTTGTCTCAAATCTGTTCAACATTGCAGGCAGAGCCCTTCTAACCCCCAGGTGAAGGCTTGGTTTTTGCCTGATGAGTGATTTAACTTTCTAGATGTCCTGAAATTAATCTTAAAGTTTGTACATTTTCCAGTTTGGAAAATAATGTTGCAAGGCTGGAGAGTTACCCGAGATGGTAGTTTAGGCTTTTAATGTTATGTGGTCTGTGGTGATGTTCTCCAGAAAAATATAGAAATAGGTGATGGAGGGACAGAATTTCACCCAGCTAACTTCTAGAGGTGCTAGGATGGTCACAGATTTGGGTACGGTCAGCTAGCATTGACTTCTGGACAGAGCCTGTGGGTAATAGAAAGGTTTGTCCCTGCCTTGTTCCCTGGCACAGGTGCTCCCCACAGGCTGTAAAAACCCATCAAAGTGATACGAAATGGCTTTCAGGAAAGATCTAAACTGTGCTGTAGGCTGTGAACTCTTGTCTCACTTTCACTTTGTAACAGGATTAAGACATAGGAATAGGATGGTGGAAGAAAGCTATCACTTCTTTTGCATTCACAGTATCTGTTTTTCAAGGATTTCTGCCCTCTGGCTTACCAGGGTGCCCTTTCATTAGCTCCATTTTAAGTTAAGGGTTTAATATTTATCTGTTCTTAAAGAGAAACTACTTGATAGCTGACAGCCTAAAAGCAGTAGCAATAAATAGCAGCAGTGAAGTCCATTTCTTCACAATAAATGCTTTGTACTGCCACTAACTTGTGCAGTCTAAACATAAATCAAGGTATCCAAGCACTGAGAAAGATGCTGTTTAATCCATGTGAGGCTCTTCTCTGCTTTAAGCCAAGGTTGAAACTGCAAAGTGTAAGACAGAATTGAGAAACTCTGTTTATCAACAACAATTTTGTAGCTTCATTTTCTACTATATTCATATAGTGAATATACTAGAAAATGGGCTCTGGGTTTGCATTTCCTTCTAGTCTTGTGCAGCAGGACGTTAAATAATAGCATTTGTGGTCTAATCTGCACTTTAATACGCTTTCTCCACTTGCTTAATTGTATTAATGGAAAGAGGAGGATGATCTTGTGGCGGGGACAGAGTACTGGAAGTCAGGTGATCTGGGTTATATTCAGAGTTCTGCCACAGGCTTCCTGTGCAGTCTGCTGTAATCAGGTTTGCTAATATATAAAATGAAGATAATGACATTTCCCCTCCTTACCAGGGTGTTGTGACACTTAATTCATTAATGTTTGTAAAGTGCTTTGTGCTCCTTGCTTCTAAATGTGCTCCTTACTGTAATAATGTCTTATGGATGGTATTAAATTTGAGAATAATGTTACTTTAGTGCCTGTGCATTTCAGTTGGCTGAAGTGTAGTAAAGACCATTATTTTCATGTATTTCATGTATTTTATGAGCTACTGGAATTTTTTAGATGACTTACTTGAAATTTAGCTAATATAGTTACAGTTATAAAATATACTATGTCAGTACTATGCCTGCTTATTTTTTTCTGTCCTTTCACTATGATGAAATATTTAGCAATCAGCAAGACTGTCTTGTTCAGACTAAAAGGAGGAAGAAAGAGTTTGGCATAAATACTCTAGCTGCTTGACTTCCAGCTCTGCTACTGAGCCTGCTCTCTACCCTGGTAAATCACAGGGTAGCTCTGTGTCCCAGTGCAAAATGCACTGAAAAATTGAGCAAGAAATTAAGTAAAAAATAAAAATAAAACAATAATCTGGGGATATGAAAATGGGGAGGTTTTGTATTTACCTAAATTGTAGCAGTACTACAGGACCGCAACTATATAATGTATGTAGTACAGTTAAAAACAAAACAAAAAATAGTTAACTTAGAAAATCTCTGAAGGTTCAGCAATGCAACTCCCAATAAATTCCCTACAAATCACACTGCTACATTTCTATATTGCACAGGAAAGTAACTCAGCTAAAATTCTCTTAATGTGCAATACAATATGTTTATTAAAGCAAATGAAAGTTGTGCATAGAAGTGAAAGTAGAATAAACTGCTGAGTTTTTCAAAAACAAAAGCAAGGGTATTATTAACGTTCATTGTGCATATCTGGATTTTTCAGAATGTAGTTCACTGAAGTTCTGCTCCCATATGAAATCAAATGCTTCTCAGACAATTGTAATACATAAAACTATCTGGGTTTAATAGCCAGGGATAATTACATCAGATGAAGAAAGGAATTACAAACTTACCATAAAGAGAAGGAATTCATTCAAGGCTGTGCAATGTTTGTCGGGCAGTAACCACGGTACTGGTACAGTACAAGAAAAAGCGTACATGTCCCCTTACAAGCACTGTCCAACATTAGATTAGTAGGAAGAAAGGAAAGCAGCTGACACTTACTATCATTATAAAAGTTCCCAGGAATTCTGAGAGGGCTTCTTTAACCAAGCTGTTCTTCAAGGCAAATTTCTCCTTTAAAGTCCTTTTGCTTTTCCGGCTCATTTTGGCTTCCTCTATTGCTCTGGTGCCCTACTTACAAATACACACAAAAAAATTGTTCTGTATTCGTCCTGCTTCAGCTGAACTTTGACACTTTTACTTATACATTGAAATATGAGATTTCATCTTGTACAGCCAGTGAAATCATCTGACTGCAGGCATTGACAGAACCAACTCAACATGCCCTAACAATTCATCATGAGTTTTCCATCCTGTGCCTTCTCTGAGTACACTTCTATTTATACTCGTTAGATAATACCAGTAAGTTCACAATCGGAACTCTTCTTTTTTTCTTGCAGCATAGATTAATTATTACCTTTCCTGCCATGTTACTTTCCTGGTAAAAAAAGAATAAAACATTTTTCCTGTCACCCTGATCAAAAAGAAAGGCAAAAAGAGAAACCACAAAGCAATGAAGCAAAATATGGTTGAAAATTTCTCTCTGACCTACATTGGGATTTAAACCATGTTACTATTGGCTGTCCAGAAACTTTTTCAAGGGGAGGTTGTAAAAGAGAGTGAATGCTTCTGAGAATGCTGTGCTCTACCCTGTAAACAAAAGCTCCTATCTTGTCACTTCTGAGGGATTTCGGTGGCCACTGAGGAATCTTACCTCGGTGTAGTATGTTGAATTTGCACAGTCACTCACTTTTTGGAGTAAATGCCTTGCTCTCCAGTGACCCACCCTGTTTACAAAAGAGCAACGAGGCAGAATAAATTAGGAATGTTTAATGAAATCTGCTTCAGTCCAGTGGCTCCCTATAATGCAGCATAGGCAAGTGAGGCACTCAGTGACTATTATGTGTCCAATATGTTTAGCTTAAAAGTGCATAGGTGCTACAATATGAAGCATTATATTATTATTTTCCATGGTCTTAAGATATGAAGTTGCTGAATATCTCAAAGAATTGGGCCTCCTAGAAAAAAATATTACACTTTTAATCTCTTAAATGTCTTGAATGGTTTTATTAGATGTAATATTGACTTGACTAACATGCTGTCTGGTTGATTTACAAGTATTTTCTGTTGTTTGACTTGACACCAAAATCTTAGCCCAGTTCTGGTAGATTATTCTGGCATGTATTGTAGATGCTCAGTGCCTTGGTTTGTATCTGTCCTAAACCTTTTTCACCTTGGTGGTAAATATGTTTAGGTCTGTCAGTACTGTTGTCTGCTATGAATAAGACAGAGCTTTACAGGACTGGGCAAATGGGCCACCTCTGTTATCCCATCAGTGCTCTTCCTTTGTCTCAAGCTAGGACCTGATGCATGTTCCCTGCACCTGTAGCCACCTTACCACCACTAGTTTCATCCCTTAACCACTCAGTTCACCCCCACCACCCAATTTTAATCCTTAACTACTTTCCTGTGTCCTTTTACTTACCTTTCTCTACCTGTACGTTCAAATACCTTTAGTTGATTCAGAAAATGCTGGCCTGTGGAAAGCCACATAGTTGATGATTTATGAGATGACTGCATCTTGTACTGGTGCTGCAAAAGCCACGGTGAGCACCTGTGCAGCAGCAGGCATGCTCTGTTGTAGGAGTGCTACCGGTCCTGCACTACAGGTCCCCACTTGCAGAGACAGCTGGGAGCTGCCTCTGGGAAGCCCCTGAAAATAGCCTGTGTATGGCAGTTTGAAAACCTTTACCCTACACCACTGCAAAACAAAGATATTAGTCACGACCTTAATTATCACAGCATGCTGAAGTATATGTTTATTATGTCTGTGAGAGAAGTCTTTCAGAATTATGTATACAGTAGAACTGAGGGAGGATGCTAGGGAGGCTATTCATTACAGCAGGAATGAGATAAACCACTTCCTCTCTCCCAGGAAAATGAGAAATAAATAAATACGTTTATGAAAGCAATTTTTAGTTGTTTGTCCATAGCAGTTCTTTCTCCTAGGCAGATGCAGGACTCACTCACAAAGTAGTATGCAGATACCTCTTCATTTAGTCTCATAACAGGTGGGGAGGCATTAATGCTTTTTTCAGCTAACAGCAGGGCAATGTCAGAGACAGAAACCCCTACTCATTTGTCCAGATCATGCTGCCTTCCTTATAGCGATTTTCTGTCTTTACAGGGTGGAGACTGACACAAGTATGTATGTTTTACATTTGTTTTCTTCAGATTTTCTTCAATACTTTATAGAAATCATATGATACAACTCCATTAATAAGAACTGTGATGTTAAGTTACGCCAAAGGTCCTCCTCAGCTCCATAATCAGGTTCAAGTAGATGCTCTTAAGAACAGTGTACATAGGGGATGATTGCTCCCTTGGTAAATCCTTGCAGCTTTTGACAATTGGCAATTTAAAGTCACTGCTACACCTTGGAATAATTTTCAAATAGAAAAGGGGGCAGCACAGAAAATTTGAATTAAGTTTCTCCTTTTATTATATTCAGAAAGAGGTTGTAGAGACATTTCCCAAATCTAACAATTATGTACATAGCATTACAAGAAAGACAAGTAAAATGTAAAGATGAACACCATGAAAGTTTTGACCTTTCATTACTAACCCATGTGATCCATGCTGCATGTTACTGCCTTTTAGTCACGTGCAGTGGGCCACCTGGTTGAACAATGGAAAGAAAATACACTGTGATTACTGTTTTCTACTGATCTCCCTCACCTGGGCCTTGCTCCCAGAGTCATAATGGTACGGTTACTGGCAGTGCCACCCATAAATATTGACAGTTGTGGTGTCCATGGGAAGAAAATGCAGACATGCTTCAAAAATGGAAGTTGTATGTAAGCAAGGAGCATAGAAAGAGCATAAACTCTCTCATATTAAATGTAGAACCACAAAAGAGCTGACCAAAAAGATTTTAAGATTTTGCCAAGAATGTGGAAGTAATAATATAAACTTTTTCAAATTCCATCACCAGAGGAGTCCTGCAAGGGAGTAAGTAAAGCTATAGAGGATGAAAGTGTAGAAGAATCATTCAAGTTGTCTAACTCCAAAGCTAAAAAGCTAAAATAATTATTTGCCTTGCTAAAGAACCAAATGCTAGGTAGGCTGAGAATGAAGAACTGTCCTAAAATGAAGACTTCAAGAGAAATTTCTAAGTTAAACAGTAATTAATAGCTGGAGCTGTGCATTGTTTTCGCCAAGGGATTCAAATGCTCAGCTACTGAAGTGCTAGTGGGTTGTTTTTTGCTGAACCTGATCCTAATGCCAGCAAAATAGAACATAGGAAACGTACCACTGATCCACTGGTCTTTCCAAAGAGTCCTCCAAGGGTGATCATGGGAACAACAAAACTGTCAATGTGACTTCTATGCCAGGAAAATTAGATGAACTGTTGTAAAGAATAAAATCAATAGACGCACAGATAAAGCTCTGTAGAAGCATCAAGTGGATTCTGTTAAGGGAGGCTATGCCTCACAAATCTATTGGCATTCTTTAAAGACATCAAAAAGCACGTTATTATTGTTCATGCATGAACATATGATCAGTGTAACCTTAGATCGCAAGACTAAGACCCTTGAGACCCTTACCCCAAGTCAATCTGGACCAAACTATTTCTTCTCTTCACCTGGATTCAAGCAGAGCAGGAATTCACACAGTGTATATAACCTAACCTTTTTTATAGTAATCTTCACTCCTATAGAAATAGCAAAGTGGAGAATAATGCACATAGCTCCCACAGTTTAACTCCCATGGGTAACAGTATATACTGTACTGAATTTTTAATAGCACATTATTCAGAGTATCACATAAATTGTTATTACTGATGTAATAAAACCTAAACCAACACAGCTGGAGAGACCAAGGCTATAAATATACCATATATTTTTTTGTATTGTAATAATATGGGCCAAATTATTTTTAAGTCTAAATCTGCTGATTTTAGTTGAAATAGTCAAAATCTGAATGTGTGTATCTACTGTACTTCATATACCTGGTCAAATGCCTTTGCTTGATTTATATTTATGCTTTCATACAGAAACTGCTGCATGGTCCTTAAAGGACATTCTCTGTTTTATGGATTGATCCTGCTGCTGGGGAACTCAAAGGAAAAAATTTAGGTAAGGAAGATCTGAACACACTGTAATTCAGCATTCTAAGCTTTTTGAGTACATAAAACCCCCATTTCTTTATTTCTTGTGTTTTCTGATCATCCTTCTGTCTCTGCTGTAGTCCCTGGTGAAAAAGCGTTCACGGGGGCAAACATCTGCAACATGCAGCTCAGGTCTAGCTGAGCTCACCTTGGAAGAGGGGCAGGACACACGAGGTGACCCGAGAATTTCTTTGTTCTTTCTTCTCTGTTTCTGTGATCTCAGTATCCAGATAAAACATTTCCAGATCATGAATGAGATCAAAACCACACCACACATACATGTTTCAAGTTTTTTGCCAGTAATCTTTAAGGCCTGATTCAAAGGTTGTTGAAGTCCACTGTTGCTGACACTGATTTCAGGGAGAATTAAATTGGATTTTCTCTAAAGCAGGACCCAAAACTTTTCTTTGTTCTTGATTGGCTGGGCACACAATCAGGCCTCAGTGCATAACTGATGTTACTACACATATATATTTTACATATAGTCATATAATTGATGATAGTAAATTTTAAAATTTCTTGTACAGACACGTCTGTGTATAACGTAGGCCCTGAGAGTTTCCAAGCTGCTTTAATCTCTGCGATAGCCATGCTGGCGTAGTGGGGCACAGATAACATTCCACACCAAAGGGCTCTATGACAGGACTGTCAGTGCTGGCAAAACGTGAAAGTGTTAGGGAAACGCTGTACAGATGGTTATGTGCACCAGTGTTATCTGCTGCGTTAGGCTGTGCTTCCTTCTGAATGAGCTGGATACTGTTCTAGCTTATCTGGTAGGTTACAGCATGGGCAGGTCTGACTTTCCAAATGCATCCTGAAAAAGACTGTTTCAGTACAAGAAGAATTTTGCCTTTAAGGAATAGATCAATTTGGTACAGACAAATGTTTTGTTGTAGCTGATTCCCAGCTCTTTTTCTGCATATTCTGTTTTCTCGAACAGTGAATGTACACAAGAAGTAAATGTAAGGGAAGATTATTGACAGCATGTTCTAATTTTAAAGTAACTCTTTCCTTTTCTGAATTCTTTATAGAAAGCCCTCAGAACAGATCAAAATTTTAAATTCAGCTTTACTATTAAAAACAAAGGATATCTTGGTAAATATATGTATGCAGCATGAAGAAAAACCTCAAAGTACATCCAATGGGCTTTGCAGTG